GTGAAGAAGGTGTTTTCTCAAAGTTCTGATCAATGAAGGCATAGGAGTCGGGATTTCATGTTATAGCTGTATAGGACATTGGTGAGGCCACTTTTGAAATACTGCATACAATTCTGGTCATCCTTCTATAGGAAGGATGTTGTTAAACTTGAGAGGGTGCAGAAAAGATTTACAAGGATGTTGCCAGGACCAGAGAGTTTGAGCTATAGGGAGATGCTGAATAGGTTGTGGCTTATTTCCTGGAGCGTTGGAAACTGACGTGTGATCTTCTTGAAGTTTAAAATTATGAGGGGCATGTATTGGGTGAATAGCCAAGCTCTTTTTCCTAGGTTGGGAGAGCCCAAAAATAGAGGGCATAGGTTTAAGGTGAGGGGGGAGAAATTGAAAAGGACCCAAAGGGTAACTACTACACGCAGAGGGTGGTGAATGGAATGAGCTGCCAGAGGAAGTGGTGGAGACTGATACAATTACAACATTTAAAAGGGATCTATATGGGTATACGAGTAGGAAGGGTTTAGAGGGATTTGGGCCAAATACTGGCAAGTGGGACTAGGTCAAAATTAGGATGTCTGGTCAGTGTGGATGAGCTGGACTGAAGGGTCTGTTTCTGTGCTATATGACTCTGTATATGGGCCTGCTGCTCTATTCAATACGATTGTGGCTGATGTTCTACTTCACTCCACTTTCCCATTTTCCAACCCATTTGTTTTTCTGGGGAACCAAAAAAATCAATCTTTCAGCCTTAAATGTGCTTGACATTTGAGTGTCTACAATGATCTGTGACAAAAGATTCCAAATATACACAACTGTCAGCTTTAAATGATCGATCCCTTCTGAAGGTGGAGGAAAATTTAAAAATGAAGAAGGACATGGCTATGGAGAAATTTGAAAATAAAATATTAAAATTCAGATTTCTCAGACTGTAAGATATCTGCAAGCATTTCATGGAATGTGGGATACATCTCAAGTTCTGCAGGATTTTACAATCTTATAAAATAAGAGCATTCTTAAACAAGTTCTGCAGTTTTATTTAATCCACTCGACCACTTTTGCTAATCTATTTTAATATCTGAACAAAAGACTTGGGGTGGGGTGGGAAACTTGCATTTATGTAGTGCCAAAGCACTTTACAGCCAATGGAGTAAGGTTTAAAACATGTATATATTTTATCCTTTTGAATGTACTTTTACTGAACCAATGTAAAACTCACTAATTCTTTGTTACAAGCAACTTATGTTTGTGTTTAGCTTTGCCTGAAATTTAAAGTAGTGTCTGATCTGTTACTATTGTATTCCGCAGTAAGAACTGTGGAATCCCTGCTTTTCAAATATCCACCAGGGAATCCCTCTGTTATGGCTCATAATCAAGGTTCCGTACGAAATGGAAAGTTGTTATTGTTGTGTCCTTTTCAAATAAATAAGGACAACTTGTATTCGTTCAAACAGGAAATCATCTGTTTTATGTTTTCTCCTCAGGTATATTTAACAGTTCTGAAGCATGGAGACTCTACAACGCTAGATACAATGTTAAAGGTAAGTGGCTGCTTCTATACCTAAAACTTTGATAACATTTTATAATAATTTTCTGTTTTAGCATAGTTGCATTTAATTTTTTTAAAAAGTTATGACAAGTCACAGTTTTCTCCAAAGCAATGCAGAGCTGGAAGATCCCACTTAGGATTCACATTTTGTGCTGAGCTAAATAACCTTAATCAGATCAACATTAGAAACAGCCAGCAGTGCCTGAAGTGCCCAAGATGAGTACTGACGAAAGTTTATGTCACTGATCACTGTCCAGTGATTCTCAGTAGAAGGTGATATATTTTTAATCTCCCTGTTGAGGGCTTTAGTGATAAACTTATGGAGCCGTTGGAACTTGAACCTAGATCTTCTAGCACGGAGTTAAGGATATTACTGTTGCACCACAAGAGACCTCATTGGATGGATATGATGTTTTCTAAATTAATCTGTTTTTCTAATCAGCCTATTCAGAGATGCTATCAATGCCTTTGGAGCAGGTAGGACTTTAACCCCAGCCTCCCGGTCTGGGGTAGGGACATTGCCACTATGACACAAGCGCCCGGGAAGGGTATGATTTTTTTTTTTTTTTAAATTGTGGAAGGACATAATTATTAAGACAGAATTAAGTTCAGCTGTGTTGCCTTTGGCAGTTAAATAGCTTCTTGCTCCTGTTCAGGGCTCACAATTGGACCGGGGGTGTCAGGCACAGCCTGTACTGGAGTTGACGTTTTCAACAAAGGAAGGAAACTGGGAATGATCTTAAGTTTAAAAAATGATTTTGTGTCCCTTTATAACTTTCAATTGTAGTTTTTGTTTAATTTGTCTAGCTCAAAGTTTTCAATCTAAAGTTTCTTCCTGCAGAATCTGGTCATTTACAGCCATGCTGCCATTTTGATTGAGACTGCCTAACTGCTGGGAATACATTGTACCTGAAGTGTTCAAGGACTCTGTTTGCTTTGTCACATAAATATCAGGGGCTGGTGTGATGTAAAATTCCATTGCTGCAAAAAGCCTTTTGCTAAATTGCTTTGAATATTTCAGATCAAAAGCAGTGAAATTTTATTCTGTTTTTGACACTGCTTGTTCTTAATACTGCTCTGTATACTAATAAAATGAATTAGGACTTATGTTCATAGAGTCACACAGCACAGAAACAAACCCACCGGTCCAACTTATTTGTGTGAACCAGACATCCCAATCTGACCTAGTCCCACATGCCAGCATTTGGCCCATATCCCTTTAAACCCTTCCTATTCATATACCCACCTAGATGCCTCTTTAAATATTGTAATTTACCTACCACCACCACTTCCTTTGGCAGCTCATTCCATACAAACACCACCCTCTGCGTGAAACAGTTACCCCTCAGGTCCTTTTTAAATCTTTCCCCTCTCACTTTAAACCTATGCCCTCTAGTTTTGGACTCCCCATCCTTGGAAAAATACCTTGGCTATCCACCCTATCCGTGCCCTTCATGATTTTATAAACATGCTATAAGATCATCCTTCGGACATAATGAGTATTTTCAAAAATGTTTCCTTAAAATGGACTTTTCAGCCTCCATCCTGAAAGGTATACAAGGAAGGACTTTGTAGAGATTCTCAGTGAAATAAAAGAGCTCAATTCTGATTCTTAATTGGAAATTGAAACTCAAACTGATCAAATAAGATCAAGACTAAAGTCAGGGACCATACCTTCCACATGTACCCATGGATGGCACTGTCCATCAATTGCATGGTTCCACCTCATATAAATGGTTGGTAACCTGTTTTCATTTTTACAGCTGTTTAATGTTAGCACATTCGCTGCATGCAAAATTTCTATATGTTTATGACTGCCTGCAGATATACAGGATGACAGCGCCATCCACAGGATTTAATTGTTATTACACATTGCCTGTGCAGTTTAAATGATAAAACTTTGACAGACACAACATGCATACAGTTCATGGGGAAAAGGTAGTGCAAGGGGCGATCAATCAGAATTTGTAGAGAGAAAAGTTAGAATTTTGGAAGAATCCTTCAAGAAGAAAAATGCTTTTGTTATTGTATTCTGTATTGTGAAATGTCTTTCAATGTTTAATGAGGAAGAACTTGCATTTATAAATGCATCTGTCAAATTCTCAGGAGGTCTTTCAATCCGTCATAAGGGTTTGATGTACAGTTGCTATTTTATAGTAGAATCCGACTTGTGCGGAGTGATGGCCCACAATGTCATTGTTCATCTCGGATTGGCCATGTCTAATGTCTGAGCTGTGAGATGGGGCCTTCAAACGTGAATGACTCCCTCAGCAGGTCACTTGAGAATTAGCCTGGATTTCATGTTCAGGTCTGGAGTAGAGTTTGAACCCACAAGGTTCTGATTAATTTATGATGCTGCCCTGAACCAAGTCTGACATCAAATAAACTATAATGAATTTTAGAATCATGACCAACCAAAATTGTTAACACTGATGCTTAGTGTGAGCTGTGGGCTGAAAACAAATTATTGTTTCCTCAAAAAAAAAATCTCAAGCTTCCATCAGTTAGTATGGAAAGATAAGTAAATTGATCATTTTTTTCTACTTGAACAGAGAAAGTTAAGAGATGTGTTGGGGGTACTCCATATGGAGTTTCAGTAAGCTAAATCCAAAAGGGCTAGTTCGACTGTTTCATGAATCAGTAACTAGAAGGCATAATAATGCCATCAAAAGAACAAAGGAAGAAGTCAAGTTTTCTTGCTCAAAAGATTTAGTGCATAGATTGGACAATGAGAAATGGTGATAGGTGCATAATTTGTAATAGCTTTCAAAGGAAAGTGGGTAAAAACATGAACAAGGAAAATTTAATAAAGTGGGTGGTAAGGTTAGTGGATTGGATGGCTCTTTGAGAATTGAGAGTTGTAGTGTGCCAAATAGCCACAACATGGGCTGTATAATTCAGTGCTTCTAGATTTTAATATCTTGGAAGGTGAGTACAGAGGCTAAATTTGAAAATAAGATGGAAAATTGAAAATCTCATGCTCGTTCTTGGTCACATTGAAGATGACTGCATGAACAGAAGTCCTTTTGGGGAAGGGAAATTGCATAGAAAGTTATAAAATGCATATTTTCAAATGCTATTTAGACTAATCAAACCCCCTTCCTTTTTACAGCTACATAATCAAGCAGATCTACAAGAAGAGAAGGTCCGAATTGAAAGGTTATTGGGTGCTATCTCACACCCTGACCTCATTCAGAAGGTTTTGACCTTTGCTATGTCGGTATGTTACTTCTTACTATCCATCAAATGATTGTCCAGGTTACTTCCATTGCAGTTTCCTGTTGTGCATTAAATTGCAAGTGAGACCAAAGTGCACAACGGAAAGGCCACAGGAAGATCTTCTGTCCCCTACCTGCATGCATTTCCATCAAATGAAATTCAAACGCTTGAGAAGATCCTTCAGGACTTCATTGTGTAACTGGTGACAACTTCCCACAAATACCCTCATATCTGAAAATAAATACCTTCCTTCACAATTAGTACTTCCTTCACTGAGCTGTGTGTTAGTCATATTTTATAATAATCTCCAGTACTTTTAATTTTCACTTAAAAATGAATATTTAAATTTTAATTCACATTTTATCTTTTGGCAGTTCAAGGATTGTTAGTTTTGTATCTTTAGAAATGAATTATTCTATTTGTAGTGCCTGATTCTTTTGCTGCTTTTCCTTCATTCTCTCAGTCTCTGCTGAGCTGTGATGTGGCACTGATACAAGGGGATTTACCCATCCATAAAGTTTTTAGTTAGTAAACCATCTTTAATTCCTGTACTTCCTCTTTCCCTTTTTCTATACATGGATCTCAAAACTGCACACTACTTTGATAGAGAACCTCAGGATACATAAGACACTTCTCCCTATCCCACTTTTATTTGCAGAATCATTACATGAGGTTCCAAAAGAACAAGTTCATGGCACCACAGATACTCTTAAGACCCAGACCTGATTTGAGCCACTCATGAAACCTCCTGCAGCCACAGTCATTTAACCAATTGTAGGATGCAAAGTCGAGTTAATCAATACTTTTAACTGAGAAATGCTCATGGTTACTTGTAAATGAAAATGGTGGAAAGAACTAAACCTGTATTAGCATTAATCTTGTCACCTCTCAAACTAGTGCATACTAGCTTTCTGAGAAAAGGGCTTAGTTTATAGATGCCAGTAATGATTAGCGTAGCTGACAATTTAAACTTTCCCCATCCTGGTCCCTATCCTGTTCCACTTAACTAAGCATGGAGAAGTTCCTAACATTTGATTGGTATGTCTCTTTAAGAACGAAAACTGAAGATCAGAAATTAGTCCTATTTGCAAGTACTACCTTGATAATATACAGTTATATTGCTGATAAAATTCAAGTGAAATTACATCATAGTTAATATTATTAAGCTTGAATTTCCCCCATCAAATCTAGCATCAGGAAATATTCTGTTCAATTTAAACTTAACAGTTACCAGTTGTTGGTTTGTGTGCTGCATCTCTCTGAGCACAAACTAAGCTAGAGTGCCCCATAGAAGGTTCATTCCTGCTGTTGTTGAGGAACATTTTCAAACTTCTTTAGAGAAGTGTGTTTGGTTTCAGACTCTCTCTCTTCAGGATGCTTGGGAATAGAAAATAACCCAAGTTTCCAAATCCACCAACAACTTCCCTTGTAATAACTGTCAGACCCATGTCTGTGCCATTTCCCCTGATGCACACTCTTCTAACTGGCTGGTCTGCTCAGGGGCCTAAACCACAGGTTTTCTGTCACTCTTTTTCCCTGCAGGATCTGCTCACCACCAGCTGGGAGGGTGCGACATTCTCAGCCACGGTATTCTCCATGAATGAACCACCGAGATGAGATGATCCACTAACAGGAGATGCGCTTATAGGGGGTGTGAGCAGACTACGCTTTGAAAAGAGTAAATCAAAGAAAAAATAGTGTTGTTGGAAACTTGACTACTGCAATAACCTTCAAATTTGTGTTTTACTTTCTTAGTTACATTAGTATAAACATGCTGGAAAAACATTATTGTACGTGGTACATTCTGTTCTTTTCATTAAGCTGGACTTTAGTGGGATTTATAGTTTGTTTTCATTTGCAGCTGTATTATGAAAAAAAGCCCTAGAGATTTAGCCCTTGTTTGCCATATTGACATCTTAAATAGTGGGTTTTAAGTTAAGGTAGATGAGTTAGCTATAGATTCCTGCCCCTGTAAATGGTAATGGATCCTTCTGCTCTGTGCACGCAGTGCACAAACTAGAACAACTGATATCACTGCCCCACTGCATGAGCTTACCTGCCTTTACTGCTGCTGCTTGAAAATTATATTTGATTTTATGCTTACATTTGCATGTACAGAAACTTAGTGGATATATGTGTAGATTTATATCTGTAATGTATTAAAGTCACTTTTTTTATCACATTTTACCTGTCATTTTCACCACTACTTTTTGTCACTAATATAAAGCGTCATTACCTTGTAGCAATTTAATTGGCATTGTTGCTTGTACATTTTACAAGTTTTGCATTTAGTACTTGGTTCCTCTTTGTTACAATTACTTCTTGTAATACTTTCCTTTTTGCACCTTGCACTTGGGCCCCCGTTGTATGTACGAAGTGTATCCTCCAAATTTTCATGGATTTGCATCTGCTTGCATTTCCTGCCAACTTGTTCCTCTATAAACTTTGAAACCCACTTTTATAGGACATTCACCTTACCCAAGTCTACACAGTGAGCCACTCTTAATGTAATTGCTGATGGGAAGATATAAAGTGAAATAGTTATCTTGACAATTCACATTATAAATGTAGACATGAGTTTAGAATGAAAAAGATGAGAGCAAAGACAGAATGCTTGACTTCTCAAAGGAGATTAAATTGTTTCTGTACATCCTGGTTTAATTATCCAGTGCACCTGAGCCCTGCTTGATCCAAAGCCTGATTCCTTAAATGCAAGCCATTGAAGATTGACAAGATTTGAATTGGTAGTTATGGACGTGATGACTTGGAGAAGATAAAAAGCTGTAGAAATCCTTACTTTGGAATTACAAACACTTTGCAGACAGAAATAAGCCATTTTGCCCAAGTGATCTATTTGTCATTTATACTCCATGCAAGCCTACCCCCATGTAGCTAATTCTAGCAATACAACCTGCTATTTCTTTCCACCTTATGTTTGTCTAGCTTTCCCTTAAATGCTTTTATACTATTCGCCTTCACTACTTCCCACAGTCTTTCCTCTTTTTAGATCTGCAGGATTTTGAAAGCTAAGTAAAGTGTTACCTAACCACTTCAATTCTTTTGTTTTAACCTGGGTGCTATTCAGCATATGGGCAAAGCTACTGGTTTTTTCCTCCATTGTTATAGACAAACATTCTGAATTTCAGATACCTAAAATAATTCTAAGCAATAACAGTGGAATTTGAACTGATTCTAGATTGTAAAGCACTGGTCCTGATTATGGGGATTTGCAAAACCTTGAATATTATCCAAAAAATAAAATCATAGCCGAATTCAAACCCCACGGAATTGGTTTTATAAAATGTCTTGAACATGGTATAAGAAAATTAAACATTTCTTGCCTTGAACCAGTGGTTTTGTCTTTGTGTTGTTCTGCTTTTAAACCAAATGCTGGTTGAGTCTGAGAGGGATCATGAGAGGGAACATGGGAGGCAACCAGCATGAAGGCAATTATCATTCTTTCTTTGCTCCCTCTTTGTCATTCACCAACTCCCCTGACCACATAGAAAACAGATTCTTGTCTTCACGCAGTATGTCCTAACTTTATTCTTTATAGCTACCAGACAGATGGACAACTTTAAAGCATGTCTCCTGTGTTTCATGTTTATTTCTGATACTGAAAATTATGAAGTAAGGTTGGAAGTCATTGCACACTGATACTTGGTGGTTAACGCACTGTGAAACCATGTGAAGGAGGTCAAGTTAATGAATCCTATTTGTATGTTGATTGGCTCACATTTAGGAAAAGCAGCTGAGGGACCAGAGTCCTCTGAGATAGGGAAGATGAGTAATATGGGAAAACCACTTGTGATACCCACTTTCTTCACTTTTTAGGGACGCTGGTTGCTGCTGTAGTGTGTTTTGCTGCAAAGCCTGTGAATATCAGCTAAATACCATCAGCAACGATGTCCCGCCACAACTGAACAAACACCACCAATTATTGTCTGGATCTAGACAGGGACAAGTGGCCCACTTGGATAAGGTGACACAGACTGCTGTGGGTCATGAGGACCATACCTCAGCCAAAGTCATTACCTTTAGTGAAGGAATGAAAAAATGAAGAGGTGTTTAAGCCAATGAGCTATAAATATATTGTTTGGTTTGTTTCTGCACACAGTGCTTTAGCCTTCGTGGAATTGATTCACAGCAAAGGAAGAAAAATATTTTTAAAAATAAAAAGATTATTTTTAGGTTAACCACAGTGCTTTTGTTGCTCTTGTAGGAAGAGGTTCGTCCCCAGGACACAGTTTTTGTACTCGGTGGCGTATCAGGTGGAAGTTTAATGGGTAGGAAAGCTGCCTGGAAATTTGTAAAAGATAACTGGGAAGAACTGTACAATCGCTATCAAGGAGGCTTTTTAATAGCACGATTAATCAAGGTAAACACAGAAAATGTTCTCGATTGCCCTAAGTCCATTATGCCTTTACTTTTTCAATTCAAGGACTCTATATTCCTGAAGGAAGCAATATTTAGCTGTTCAAACCACTTCATAATGATGAGTCAGGTACTTAATGTGGTTGAGGTAGAGAACTGGCCTTGCAGAGAAGGATAACCCTAAAATGATGTCCTGCCACATCAAAGTGCAGTGTTTTGATAGTTATCATATTCCATTCCTGAACTATTACATTTTTATATGTATGTAGCATTATTCTACATTTTTCTGCTGCAAGTGTCCTATAAGAGGAGGAGCTGGGAAACATAGCTGGAATGTAGATTCCCAAATTGAGCTTGCTGCAGATTATCGGAATCACTGTACACTTATGTTTCCATTCATGGTATTACTGGACTGTCTGCCAAGACAGTCTTGTGTTTCTTTAACGGAGCAGACAGATCTGTGATCTCAACAACTAGGACTGAACAGCAGAAGCTTCAGCTTCAAGGAATTTAAGATGCCTTTTAAAAATATTTCTCAAGTTCTTTTCTTTGGTCGTGATTTCAAGGAATGTGTTTTTTTTCTTAAACTCTATCAGAATAATTTAATATTACAACGCAATCATACAGCCTCCAAGTTTATAAAAAATAACTTCTGTCAAGGAATATCGGAACAGACTTGCAGACGTGTTTCCACTCGCAGGCAGCATGATGAGTTATTTTACTCACCATTACCTTCCCTTCAAGAAGGTAGTATATGTGGGGAGCAAGTCCCTTAGCAGATTACCCAACCATAAGAGTTATTTTCTGTCTGAGAACTCATGGAATTCAGTTGCAATCCTTCTCTAGCTTGCACCCTGTCTTAGCCTGTGCCACTGCTTCCTCAGTCGAGTTGAATTAGGTTTATTGTCACATGTACTCACGTAAGCACAATGAAAAGTTTACAGGCCACTACTTAGTGCCAGCTTAGGAACAAAGGTACCTAGGTACAGAATCTTGGTATAAAGCAGAAAAATAAAGAAAACAAAGTTTAAAAAGTTAAACATTACAGTCCCCCTTACTAAAAAGTAGAAAATTAAAGAAACACATTTAACAAAAGAAGAACAAAGAAACACCATTAACACTGATTTAGTTGAGCGCTAATCTAGATTTATATAGTACCCGCAAATTGCTATCATTCCAAATGTTTAGTGAAGTAGAAAATAAAGCAATGCTCTGAGCACTTAGTATAGTTTGAGGGAAGGGGGATGATGTTTGCGGGTTGGCAGAGCTTGCTTATTGTTGGACTGTCTGCCAAGACAGTCTTGTGTTTCTTCAACAAAGCAGGAGCAGAAGCTCCTGGGGATGATGGACATTGAAAAGGTGTTTGGATGGGTGGCGGAGTGGTGAATTCGTGGTTTGGACCAGTAGTGCTGAAGGCACTGCCATTTTTGATGGAGCAAAAGTGCAGGGATCAATGCAGACCAGACCCCACAGTGGTTACAGTGACTGTGGAGAGAGTTACAAAAGCAACAGCAGTCAGTTCAATTGGAGAGATTTTTAGGTTAAGACAAGAGCTTTGAATTTAATTTTAGGAACAGGAGTAGGCCATTTAACCCATTGAGCCTGTCCCACCATTCAACACAATCACGGCTGATCAAACATTTCGATGCCTTTTACCCATCTCGCCCAATAACCCATGTATGCCACTGGTGGTCAGGAATTTATCAACCTCTATCTTAAACATACTAAAAGACTGAACATCCTTAGCCTTCTGTAGTAGAGAATTCCAAAGGTTCACAACCCTCTGAGTAAAAAGGTTTCTGCTCATCTCGGACCTAAGTGGCATCTCCCTTTTTTTAAATTGTTTCCCTTGTTTCTAGACTCCCCAGCCAGGGGAAACATTGTGCCTGCATCTACCCTGTCTAACCCTTCTAAGTATTCTACAAGTTTCAAAAAGATAATCTCTTTTTTTTTCTTTGAAACTCCAGAATACAGTTCCAGTTTGCCCAGTATCTCCTCATAGGACAGTGCTGCCACCCAGTCAACAAGTCTGATGAGCATTTTTTGCACTCCCTTGATGGCAATAATATCTATCTTGAGATAGAGACTGGACTGTACACAGTACTGCGGGTTCAGTCTAACTAAGCTCCTACACAAATGAAGCAAGACTTAACTACTCCTGTGCACAAATCCTCTTGCAATAAAGGCTAATATTTCATTAGCCTTTCTAATAGCTTGCTGCAGCTGCATGTTAGCCTGCAGTGACTTTTTAACAAGGACACCTAGGTCTCTTTGTATGTCTACACTTTTCAACCTCTTATTATTTAAATACTCTGCACATCTGTTTCTCCTACTGAAGTAAAAACCTCAGATTTTGTACTTCTGCCATGTTTTTGTCCAATCATTAAGCCTGTTCAAATCCTCCTGAAGCTGGTTTGTAGCTTCCTCACAATACTGTTCCCCTTAACTTTGTATCATCCCAAATTTGGAAATAATGTATTTTGGACTCCCCTTCCAAATCATAAATATATATTGTGAACAGCTGGAGCCCAAGTGCTGATCCTCATAGTACTCCATTCATCACTGCCTGCCAATGCGAGAATGACCCATTTATTTCTACTGTTTTCTGTCTGTTGGCCAATTGATGATACATGCCAGTACATTACTTCCTATCCTATGTGCTTTAATTCTTCTAACCACCTTCCTGTAGGAGAACATTATCAAAACCATATCCCAGGAAAAGTATTTTTAAAGAGACCTAGATGGGTAGGGAATGATGCAAATGACGTTTAAAATTTATTTTCATTAAGTTTGGTGTTGGATAAACAGTCAAGCAGTATAGTGCTGTGTAGAGTTGTGAGTCTTAAAACCATAGAACCCCTACAGCATGGAAACAGGCCATTTGGCCCATCAAGTCCATACTGACCCTCCAAAGAACATTCCACCCAGACTCACCCACCTGTTTCCACACTGTAGGGATTCTATGATTCTGTCCTGTAATCTTGCATTTCCCATGGCTAAGCCACCTAGCCTGCATACCCCTGGACACTGTGCAATTTAGCATGGCCAATCCACCTAACCTGCACATCTTTGGACTGTGGGAGAAAAGCTGCACATACGGAGGAAATCACGAAGACATGGGGAGAATTTCCAACCCCACACAGTCACCCGAGCGTGGAATCCAAACCCAGGTCTCTGCCACTGTGAAGCAGCAGTGCTAACCACTGAGCCCCGTGCCACCCTAATGGAGAGTTTTGACTGGGGTCTCCATTTCTCCAGGGAATATACTGTGATTGGGCAGCACATAAAAGGAATCGAGGAGCACTCCTAAACAACTATCTGCATTTGCAAAGCAATGTTGACAAGGAAGAACATCTCGAGGCACTTTGCAGGCATGTAATTAGGAAAAAAGTGCTGAATCAAAATGAAATATTTGCAGTTGTAACCAGTTTTGTCAAAGTGATAGGTTTTAAGGAGATTCTGAAACAGAGAAGGAAGAAAGATTTAGAGAGGGAATTCTAGGGAACAGCCTAAGTCGATCAAAGGCACAGCTATCAATGGAAGCAGGTAAAATGGGGGCAAGAGATGTAGGAACCAAGAGTTCTTCGATGAAGGTTACAAGAAAGTGAGATGGTGCTTAATATGCTGTAGTCTGATCTGATGATTGTGTGATGGTTATGCAATACCTGAAGGAATGAAGATGGCAACTATACCATCTTCCTGGATTGGAGACAGTTAAATCCTTCGCTAGTAATAAGCCTATCAAACGTAGAGGTGAGGCAGTGGTTGAGAAAGGATTGTCTTGTACAGCAGCTAATCTGGTGGTGGTTGCAAGTAACTCTAACGGAGGATTACTAAACATAAAGCTAAGGTTTGCATTTGTATCATTGCCTTTCACAGCCTCAGGAAGTACCCAAAGCATTTTACAGGCAAAGAAGTATTTTTGAAATGTATTTAGTGTTGCATTGCAGTAAACATAGCAGCCAGTTTGTAAGCTTGATTTGATTATTGAGATCACTGGCATTCCTTTCTCATACTTCTTTTCCATACCTTCTGTTGCTGACAGATGTTCTCAAAGAATTATTTCCCTTCATTATAGGAGGTTCCTCCAGGTCAGTTTCTTCTGAGTGAGGGTTTCCCAGGTATTCCTTCAGGTACATACCTTGTGCAAGACATCTTTTAATATGGAAATGCTATTGCACATCAGCAGATACATGGTCCTTGACAGACGTAGATCCATTTCTAGTGGCAAGAAAACCTAGATGACTGGGGATCTCCCTATTCTGCAGCCTTCATCTGTCTTCACAGCTGTCCCACAAACATCTTTTATCTGAATCGCCACTGAGGACTTATTTTGGATTGCTTTGGTCTGGTTCCTCCACTCTGACCTTACTTTCATGACCCTGCCAGGAGTATGTAAATGCATGCAGTGTCACAAGCAGTCTTAACCACGTCATTGGTCATTGCAGATTGAAGACAGTCATCTCTCTATAACAGAAGTAATCACAGGTGACCTTAAAAATGGCATCTGTGGCTTCAAGATCTGATATGTTGCACAAGGATACAGAACTGATTTCCTCTCATCTTGAACTGTAAATATTCACCAACATGCTTTTCTATGCTGTATTGCCTTTTTGGGGTAATGTGGGGTACGAGGACAAGGTATCAGCATCATGCTGCCCTTATAATTTCCTACTGTATTTGCACAATATGACTTCTACTGTATTCATTGAAAAGGTCCCACTATCATAGGTCCTTGTAGAGGTATTCCATGGTTTCGGCATTCCTTTTTGAAGTCTCCCATGTCCCGATATAGGGATGACAATGCTAA